TACGAAATAAAATGAGACATTATATAGAAATAATGCGTATTTATTTGATCTAGTACCTTCATGTGCCGTATTTACTAAAAGGGATGTTTGCCCGAAGCTAAGCACTTCCGATAACCTGAACGCATATGTGTGAAATCATCGGTACATTTTTGAAGTAGTTAATCAAAACTTTGAACTGTGGTGTCAGATACGTCCCTACAAATTATTATACGAAAAACACTACACAGGACTATACAATATAAGCCATATGGGGTAATGCCATAAAAGGTTGAGGGTTCCTATCGCCATTCTAACCCTTGTTTTTTTTTTGCTGATATATAGAAAAAGCAATTTATTCCTACCCTTTTCACTAAGCGCGATCTTAGAATGAAAGAATTTTCGGCACTTTACTTTCGCCTGCTTTACTTTAAACGACTCAGACTAGAAATGGAACTATGTAGGCAAATTATCAATATCATTTTGCGCAATTGGACTTGAAGACATAGACACAGTTTTTACGATTATGGGAAAGGCATGACTTAAAGTCACATGCGGATATTTAGTCAATCCAGACGTGTAAGCGTAATAGAAAAAAACCAAAAAACAAGAGTTCCGTTCTAACTTCGTATGCTTTTTCAACCATACTGCCGTACTTCGCGGATCTAGGTAAACTCTAAACTTCTGTGTAGAAAAATTATCGAGGCAAATTACTTAATACAACATTTTCCGTTTTTAACAGTCTTTTTTCCTGAAAATTGCAGTTGCAAATTTAATAAGATGGAAACACTGCACTGGTCAATTAGGAGCTGCTTGCAGTTCCAAGTGGATAAATCCCCGAACTGCACGAGCTCCCGTTGATTTTCCCTGCATCGCAATTTTAGAATCAATGGGAGCGATTTGCTAAACGCGATATAGTTCATTTTAGTTTAGCGTACTACACGCAATATTCAATCAGGAGTCGCCAAGGGGCCCTTCGCCTTCGCCGTGTTCGGCATTTCTATTGCTGACATAGCGCAGTTCCTGATACAGCGTTTTCTTGTTTCTGTTTTCGTTGTTGTCGTTACTGTTAGTGCCGTATGCCATTGCTCGGCCCTCAGTTGGTCCCATCTACGTATCCTCGCTGTCCGCTGAACACCCTACCTGCAAGCGTTGCTGGTAACTTCACCGAGGCGCAGTAATGACGCGTATTCCTTAATACCAACTACTGTTTACTCTACCGTGTCCCATTCCCTTTAATCTCCCACCTTCTACCATTCATATTATGGTTGTCGTTAGTTCGGTGTTTTCCACTGTGCTAATGGCGCTGAGATTTACTCTCATTTTGCTCCAACCACGACAAATGATGCATTTCTGTCTATATGTATATCCTCAGCCGACCTTTCCTTTCAGCCAGTTATACTTCCAGCCAAATGACGCATGCAACAGGAAACACGTTCGGGAACTTAAGACTATATTCAAGTTTACTGATATATTCGACGTCCGCGAACGATGCTTGGGCCGCACCTGACGACGCGTTGGATGATTGACGAACTGCTGATTTTATTTACAATCAACAACTCGACTTTATTGGAGGGAGTCGACTAGTTGTGAGATTCTGAATGCCTGACACATAACTAACTAGATTAAGGTACGTCCACCTCAAATCCATAAGCGGCTCTCGGTTTAGAAATTACTACTATGCCCAAACTAACGTACCGGGTTCACTGTAGGGTACTTTGTAAGTTGAGTTTCGATTCGCATGTATCCAGAGAGCCTCTGTATATGGCAAATCAAAGAATTCACCTATAAAGAATAAGATATTAACATACAACGACACAAAGGCTTCGGCGGTCTTTGCAAAATATAATTCCTTCAACGACTGCACTGTCATCTGTCTATGTACAAGCATCCAAAACGTTTGTCCCCGGTAATAACTCTGTTTTTCTCCCCGGCTTGTTCCTCGAGCGCGTTTGTTTCCATAACCAAGTCATGGTTGATGTTCCACGATCAAAAGCCATTACTATTGTGTGCTGCGATTGCGACTTACGAACTAACGGGTCATGATGCGGTACATGTATTCGGAGACGTGTTTGCCCTCCCTTTCTCTGTGTCTGTTTCCTTGGAGCTCATTGTATTTGAATGAACGAGGGGAATTCTGAGACGGCTCCTTTACTGCTGAGCAGTCGTGCATCGTCGCTAATATGTCATTACATTGTACATTTGTACTTACTGTTGTTCATATATAAGCTGTAGTTGTATCCCTTTCTTACCATGGATGCACACAATGGCAACATTTATTTAAGTTAGCTAATAAACGCAACAAAGATCATTTAAATCTTATTGTGTGGCCTAGAAATAGATTTCAACTGACATTATCAAATTATTCATTTAAATGCTACTTTACTCAACCCAAAAGATAACCAAAACCTATTCGTAATAGAATTTGACTCGACGTGTTATTAATTCAAAGCTAGCCGATTACCTTATTTATTAGCGCACGACCCAATGTTGGTTTGAAAGCATTTTTCAATAGTAGAACAAACCAGGTCATAGTGGAAAAGTTACATTTCTTAATATTATATAGGGACAACCCTAATCCTCTTACTGTATTACCCATAATCCCGCAAAAACTGTTTATCTATTCCAACAATGCATTGAACATAGCATTCCAAATAGGCTATGTTTAAGAGTCTCTGATTTCGTGGCGCAACATGCGATCGTAGTATCACATATTGGAACCTTTTGTAACTCGCTTTCACACCGTCAAATAGTTGGTGTATATATATAACAGATGAAAAGACGGAAACCGTTTCTTCAGTATGCTATTCACTTTGCACCCTAATGGGCCTCGAACTAAGATAATTTTGAACGCCTTGTGCAGGAAAAAGCTGTCGTATCCTCTCATATAATCTTGGTTTCAAGCAGAGTTTTAGGGGAAGGAGTTTGCTTTGAATGCTTATCAGTGTATCTTTCAGAGTATTGCCAAATGACACCCACTTGACCGATTCGGTTTTCGAGACAGATGGTTGAAATCTGCGATATAAATACAGAAGAATTAATTCCTACAATAACCTTACAAAAAAAACTGCACTGGCTTTATTCAGCTATCTCAAAAAATCAGCATTGCTTTTCTATCGTAAACTTAATTGTGGTTTCGTGTGTATCCCTCCAGGCATGAGCAAACAAAGCTTGCAATACAAAATATAAGTTATACCCAAAAAATAGAACGATTGACATTTATGTAATAGTGTATAGTTGGTGACTACGTATTTCGTTGATTTTCTCGCACTTAATCTCAGTTCATCAACTTATTTCTGAAATACGATTAAACCAAAAAAAAATATTTTAAGATAAGTGAGCTTTCAGTGAGTAGAATAACGACCTGAATTGCGATAGCATCAAACAACTGATACGCCTTTCTTTTTCGTTAAATCAAAACATGTAACTGAAATCACATGTCTATATTAAATTTTGTAGAGTAAATCTGACTAAAAAACGCTATTTAAAGAGGTAAAAAGCTTTCACAGGGTCGGCTAGTTCGGTCGTAGCTCCGTTTTTAAACTGTACGACAGGCAACTTTCTCTTATATACCTTCTTATATATATTTCGCTGGCCTTTGTCGTTTCGCAGCCATTACGCCTTACTCATCGATACCTTATCTGTTTAGCCAGTCCAAACGAATAGGTCCTAATAATGCGTAGGACCTGACTGGTGTAGTTGAATTTCGTGCATGCTAGCCGCAACTTTAGTGTAGGGCTCTATCGTTGTCGTAACCAGCAGCTAAAGCCTCGCTACTGACCTGCGTATCACTTGCCTGTTTCTTGCATCGCCAACGGACGTATCTGTGTTAATCCACTTACAGGTGACACAAACACGCCAGACCTTTTCTATATCTTCGTTTATAGCGCCTTTCCAACATGTTCTCCAGTACGACTATGACTACTATATTGGCTGTGGCTGTCAGTTAGGTAAAGCTTCCCCACAAATACGTTTCTTTTGTTCTCCTCTTCATTACCTACCCTCCATCCCCCCCCCCCCCCCGCATTTTTCTCGGTTCACCTCCGTCGCACTCTTGACATCTGAGGATTGTCGTTTGTTTGCTAGCTGACTTCCGTTTCTTAAGTTGTCGTTCTAGCCTGTAACCCGACTTCTCAACTAAACTAAATAGATTTGTGAATGACCCTTAACGTTGGGGCTATCTGAGGAACCGTATCGAGGGTCGAACCAAAAGAGGTGTATTACCATAGAGTAAGTGCCTCAAATGCGTCTTTTACGGCATGGCCTGTTTTATGCCTCTCTGCACACATTTTGCTGAGCTTTTCTTAGGGGACGGTTTTCAAGTCAAAATTTTATTTAAAATTGCTCTAAGAATATACATTTCTCGATACAGCAGGTTTATTATTTTTTTATTAATTTATTCCATAAATAAAATATCGAACATTTTCAGTGGATATATAGATATATATATATAATTTTGCTTAAGTCCCTCTTACCTAAGGTGCTCATCATTCTTCCATAAATTTCCGCAACGCTGTGGCCTTTGAGAAATAAAAACTTCAACACTAAGCGCTAGTTTAATAGACCAATAGCGCTAGACCAATAAAATGATTTCCTTCTGAACTCATTTCTGGGTAAACTTAATGGATAACCGTTCGCCTACACAAATTTCTAGAAGACTAGGTTACCTACCAGCTAAATTCGTCTGCTATCGGCGCGTAATTCGAAAGTTATTTTATTTCAAAGTCCGTCGGATTCGTTCATAACAGCCTAAGACAACACACGTAGCGCTACCTGCGGGCTTCGCCCGCGTCTGCTTTGCTATGAAACGCATTTGCTTTGTAGAAATAAAAAATGAATGATATTAATGATTGAAGTAACCCCGATTAGTATAGGGATAATTAAATAGCTTCTTCTAAACATAGTTTCCCATGCAATACATGCTGAGCGGACTTGTTTGAATAACACGAATTGTACAGAAATGTATAGCTGTATATGATGATATGTCAGTGCAGACGACGTTACGAAGCGCCTTGCTCTTTGTAAACGGCGACACGGTGTTGCTTTGAAACGTGAAAGGGCATTGGTTTACGACCAATCTAATGGACACAGTCTATAGAAAAAAGTTTACCCTCTAGACGCAAAACTAATGCCGTAATTAACCCTATTTATTGGACAGCTAATTTCTGAATAAAACTCAAGCGACCCAGAAACAGATAAAATAAGCCAAGCTCGCGCACTCTTAAGTGATCGTTTTGGGTCGGACAAGCCTGTGGATCTAACGTTTTAGTAATATAGAAGATTAAATAAACTCGCAGGCTTCGCTTCATGCTTGTCGTACATATTTGTCATTTTAGCAGACTAGCCAGTAAAACTGAAGTTTCGGTTTTTAAAGATATGTCGACTGAAAGCCAAAAATATAAAAAGGTCCTGATTCATCTTCAAGAATTTCATTAAATACCGTCTAAAATATGTATAGATGCATATCTAGGAGTAAACTGGGATAGCTGACTGCAGAAATTTGGCGTACTGTTGAACTAAGGAACCTATGTGACAAAAGACTTAATCAAGGTGAGCTATGTGGTTTACATAATAGGTGTAAATTTCAAGTTTCGACTGTCTCGTCGGACGTAAGGTACAATAACAACAGAGAGCAGGAAGTGCGAATAAAACCGTACTTAGATGAAGTACCAATCTGATGAGATACCAGTGGCAGCGGTCTGTCGAAGGCAACGCAATGCGTTCTCTCTGCGACTTAACCGGTGAGAGGAAGGGCACTAAAAAATAGAATGACGTAGATTGCTGAGACGGGCGCTTCTGCCCAACAGCACCCGTCCGCCGTTCTATAAAGAATACCGTTACACTTGCAAATACGATGTATAATAATAACGACGAATAATAGCAGCAGCTGGTGTTTAGCCGACCTCGGAAGCACGTCAAGATTCGATTTGCTGTGGTAATCTTGCGTATAATCCCGCAGAAGTATGTTCGAAGACTTAGGCTTCTCATTCATCCATATGTAATACAAGCTAATAAACTGCTCAGAAACTCGGAAATCAGTTCAGTGAGATGTCTGACGTATAGTCTGACGGAGATTTTTGGATCTACAGCTAAATTTCAGTCTCAATAAGATGTAGTTTTATTTTTATACTTCACTTCCCTCGTTTCCTTTATATATAATATCTATTCATAATTAACTAGACAGAGATAGAATAGAGTACAACATCTGTACTATCGATTTAGAACAAGCTGAAATCTCAGCTAAGGCAGGCATTTGAAGGGAATAAACTGTACTAAATACTCGTTGAAGTTTGACACTTTTTTGCTTGATTTTATAGCCCTGCAGGAGGCTGTAATCTATAAAAGGTCTGTTTCCTGTCGAATCGAATGAGAAACAATACGAATTTGCGTGGATGTACCCACATTCCAATTTATTGCATGTTAGTTAAAAGTTCGCACGAAGCTAATATACAGGAGCTTATTATATAGTAAGGTTCTAGTATGAGTAATATAAATTATAGTATATTCATGCCGTAATTAGAGAAAAGGAGCTTCGTTTGTAACGTAAATAATCACACATAGCGCCAGTGTCGTCTCTGTACCCAATAGTTTTGTATGCTTATTTTAGGGTACGTATAGACAAAAAGAACTATCGAAGCATGTAGATTCTCCCCTAAAATCAATGAGCTGGAATGAATTGGTGGAATTGTGACTGGGTTCAGTCAGTTTTTTCGCTTGCACAGCGTGTCGCTAGGTGATGCTTGGAAGCCTTCTCATCGTTCGATTGATTCTTAATACATACTTCTGGAAGAGCCTAAGGAGTATGTTCCAACTGAACTGACAACTGGTCCTTTCTGCAATCACAAAGAGGTAATTAGTAAATGCATTTCACGTTATCTAATTCCATGTTGTGCAAAATTAAAAATATCGACACAAACGTACGTAGCAACTAGATTTGTTTTGCAATATGCGTCCACGGAGTTAACGCAACGTGTAGCTTCAATAATACAGACGTAAGACTTGTGTTAAACCTTTGTTGTCATTGGATTGAAGCGACGGGCCAACAATGTAAACATCTTGACCAATTTCATACGGTACAGACGATCAGACACGGTACAGAATACTACGTAGTGCTATAGTTTAGAAGGGCGATTGAAAACAATTTTTGGTTAAAGTGCATACTTCAGACATAAATCAAGGATGATTGAAGATGAGCAAATTTTACGACCAATATTGTATACAAACGCCATGAGCTCTACATTCCAGCATATTCAGTGATGCTGTAAAGTGACAAAACCTTAGCTTTATTAGCAGCAGCAACCCGTCGGGCTTTTCGACACCGAAGGCAAAAGATCGGCTTCATATCCATTTGTTAAACTAAATATACAGGTTTGCACAAAAAAAAGCCTGTTGACGGTTTGAGAAAATCACTTCTAACCTATATTGTATAGAATCATAATAAACAATAAAATGGAAGCCAACTATAATGAGTCGCATTACTTCTAAAACCTAATCGTAAGAATGGTAACCAGAAGGCACGACATTCTGAAAAAGTGACATAGTCCTGAGCTCTTAGTTCTAATTTCGTCTGCTCGCAATGAACTTAGGCGTATACGAAGAGTAAGCTACCATGGTTGATGCTCAGTCATATAATACTGTAACTAAAGCAAAATTCAACATTTGAGAAGCAAATAAAAATTGAGTCTTTTCCTATCGTTTATTTTTTATTGATTTTCTAAAAATTGCTGAGAAAAGTGGTCAACCGCTTGGACAACTTACATTGGATGTCTCGTCTTGGCGGCTGTTGACGTTTGGGAGCTCCCGGAATTGACATAATACCGGATGACCTATTATGATAAATTCACACTTATTCCACATGTGTATTTTTTTTGCTTGTTTCGCTACATATATATATATATATATATATGGCAATTTTCATGAACTATAAGATGTACACAAGAAGAGAAATGGCGAAAATACCGCAGGCTTAGAAAACAGGCTTGCTTTTGAATGGGATTCGCATTGAACATGACCTGTAGTACTGGACAGGTCGGATTTTCGTTTTTTGATAACATAGGGTTATATACATTCCGAAAACGATATGTATATAACTCTGGACATAATTAGTCTGTATAAAACAGATAGACAAAATATACCTACCAGGCGTGCCCAAGATACAGGATGAAGTATCAAACTGGAGCGACACTGCCTTTTCCGGAAAATAGAATTCGAGTTTCGAGTCCTTGAGGTGAGGAAAAGAGCATTTTGGCTCAGAGTCTTCATATACCTGAGCATTGAACCTATCGCAAAATATTCAAAGCACAGTATATTTAAAAAGCACATTGTATTTTCGCAGAACGCACTCACAGCGAGCTCCTCTTAGGATAATGCTGAATATGTTCTTCATATAATTTCTAATGAGAATTCACTGAATTTTCAGTTAGAACTCGAACTGAAAATTCTCAATTTAGTTTAGATAGGTTACAACGACGAGGTTGAAAAAAACAAAGTAAAATTTAATTTTACGCAAAGTTAACAAAAATATGTAGTTTTGCTCGAAAGAACCAGATCTTTGGTTGAGCTCAAGACACTTGCTGTTCAACTGATCAAGTTATTCCAAAAACAAAACTTACCAATATTAACTTTCCCGCCATTTCTCAGCCAGTTTCTCAAAGTGAGATAAAACTAAGTGCATGGTTAGCACGAGGGCTTTTTGGAAACAGAAAAAACACATGTTTTTTTGTCTCATTTGTAACATTGCTATGGGCGAAACGGACAGTTCAAGGAATAAACAGCGTGTTTACTCCACTTAAACGTCCTTATGGACACGTAAGTGAGAGAGTCTATTAAAAAAAGTCGGTCTAAGCAAACTAATAGAACTGTTTATTACATACGTTTCTTGTTGATTTTCAACGCAAAGATCTGGACGGCGGAATGAGCAATTGAGTGTAGGTAGCCAACCCAGTTGGTACGGAATGTTGAAATGATAAAACCACACGTTGCATTGAGTTGCTGGATTTACTGGTTGTAACCAGCGGATTGTTTGGGTGGAGCTTGCAACGTCATAAACGGATCCTGTACGTTGCAAATCAAAGAGGCTCCTACGTACAATAAAAAACCCAGTGTTCTATTAATCATTAATTGTACAATGGATTTTTAGTTGAAACAGTACTGTTGGGGCACACCCACCATGTTTTGCTAAGAATTTCAGAACAACAAGAAGGTTTTATGTACATGTGTATCGCTCGAATTGTTTACAATGAAAAAAAAAGCACGATAACTATTGACCTTATGCAGGGTCTAAAAAAGTCACTTGATCCGCGCGACTACCCGAGAAGGGTTTACTTGACTGTTTTTTTTCAAAGAAAAATGTTTTATGTCATAACGGTGCAGGTAGGTTCATACATCTGTAGTGCCTTCGAAATATGCTATACCATAGTAAATGATTTGCACTCGATAATGGATATTCATGTATCAGTGTGTTATCGATTTGTTTGTTGATCAGTTACGTCCCTGGTACAAGCGCAAAGCAACATATCTAACAATTGTTTGTTGTTGGATGGTTCCGCTATTTAGCGCGACTGGATTCAAAGCAGTAGTCTCTTTTGAAGCATACCTTGCTATCTGAAAACATTTTAGAGTAAGTTTTCTTGAAGAACTCCCTTTTCGTAAACAAGTCCGAAACAATACTGCGCCTTAAGCATTAGCTATTCTAAGCTTTTTCTTTTTGTCTATAATAAATCCTACAGACGTTAGAATATTACCCCTCTCAAGGCATTAGTATCCGACTGTAACCAAATACATCTAACTCTTTCCTAGGTTAGAAACATCTACCTAAATATATATTTACTGAAAACAAATATATATGTTACATAATTTTTCATAAGTTGCATAAAGAAAGAGCAGAGAGTAATGGAAGAAGATCAATAAAACATCTGACAATAGCACAAATTCTTAATAGACATATGCATACGTTGAAATCAAATTACGTACGCTGGCATATTCTGACTCTCAATAGTTGCAGCCTTAAGCTGGAGCTCCATAATTTCACGGCATCCACTCATATTAGTGACCCTGCAAAAAGTCTCTAATAAGTAAATTTGGCACCGTTACTCTGACATACGTACAAACACAGACTCACGAAAACAAGGTGCCATAAAGGCTAACTCAAAGACAACTGAGTAACATGTAATTGGCAAATATTTAACATTAAAAACACCGTCTGCAGTCTTCTAAAACAACTTCGGCCAATACGTACGTTGTAAGGAGACTGATACGGACGCGTGCAGAATGTCGTAGTGCACGCTAACTTTCGCATGGCATTTTGTGAGCCGACCATAAAACAGTCGTGTCGATTATTGCTCGACCTGAAGAGAAGATATGCGTTTGTAATAGAGTTCATTTCCTAATAAGCAAATAAGTAGTAACATGAGAAAGGCGCACGATCATACCTTGCATGATTACTGCGTCGTTTGCTTTTTAGAGCCTCTGATGGAATTACTGTATATAGACAGCAGACGGGTGGATTTAGAGTTGAGTCAGTCCATAGCTGTTCAAAATGTTTCTATTCTGAAACTGCTTCGAAAATTTCTTCCTGTTGTGACGGCGGTCAAGTCTTTACATCAGAATATATTACATTGTGATCACGTATATAGGTCATGTATTGCTCTAATACTTGTGTATATGCAGTATCACGCAGCCGCCAAATGTAACGATTCATATTGAAGCAAATACGCGATACATTTTCCACAAATCCACTGCATCTCAACTGAGGTTTGGGTCAAAGACGTCAGGGTTGTTACTTTGGCATCTAACCCACCCCGCTACTTTTAGCTCTATGTAGGTTTCTCAATTTTGTACGCTTGGCTTCCACCGAAGCATCATATGATTAGAAAGAAAGGTATAGACAATTTCACATCGTTCAGAGGAAGACAATCTGGCTGAGTAACCATATTAAGTTTACGGAGCAGTTTACAGGAGCGTTACGCGAGAAACTCTGAAATTGGCCAACAAGATGTGTTAGAAACATCAGTCAGGACATAACCCTACATATCTAATGCCTAGACCATTTTGTAAGCCAAAACTCTGGAGAGGATCCCTGACTGGTTAATGCAAGATGTTCGATGCTACACATTTAGCCAACGCTGAGCGCAAAGCAATGCCAACTTAACATCGGTTCAAGCAATTGACTATTACGCCGTTTTTGTGTACATTAAATGTAAAATGTTGTACGGTAAAGAACACCCTAACGATCATGCATACGCACAGAAGATTAACTTACTAATCAGCATTCCGAAAATATGCTCAGACATTCTACGAGAACATTTTTATTCTTTTTGTTCAACATCTACAGAGAGAAATTTGCAAAGTATTGCTGCTTCTGCGCTAATCTCATTTTTCAAATGAATAGACGCACATCTATCACTATGTATACTGATGTAATATAATATACTTAAATATCACTATGTAGCACAATATAATTCGTTCTGTAAGCATTTTGTAGCGTTGCTGAAATAAACATTTCGTGGTATAATTATGGATTCGAAGGTTGCTGCTGTTTTTGGAACGATACAAACGAAAAGTCCGCTTCAACTGTACCAGATATAGAGGTTCACTAATTAATTCCAATGGGCTTGTTTGCTGCTTAAAGTAAGTTTTCCAGAGATCCTGAACGACAAAGCACACCGTACTCTGTCGCAACGTATGCCCATCATTTTTTCATACATTTTCACGCTACAGTATATTCTCCAGTTACTATTTCATCGGAAAAATGGAACGGGGACGTGAACGAGAAAATCCAAGGCATTTTCGTTAGGGGACCTGGACTGTCGTCATAAGCGAATTATGTTTTGGTTACAAGAAATACACGCCGATTTAACGCAACAATTTACAAACTTACTGCCTAACACTATAACGAGTTCCCAGTTAGAGAGCTATTAACTGTAAAGCTGTTCCCCTTACGACGATGTATTGAAGGCACAATGTTGTTGAGTCCTGTCATAAACCATCATAGCGTTTTGCCGGTCTGGTCTAAATGCAGACTCGTCAATATTTTGTCACTGTTCGTACAGAACCTTAGCGTACCCTTCCGCGTCTTGGTGTCCTGTCTCGACATTTCAGCTCCTGTCTGTATCGCAAAGGTTGCCTGACTGCGCGGCAAGCACAAGTAACCGTTGCGTCGGCGGCTGTAGCGAAACAACGGCTGAATCAGAAGCAACAGCAGCGACAACTATGGAAGTTGTCGTACGATAGCTTTTTGCCAGCAATTAATCCTGGGATGGGGAACAGTGACAGCATTTTGCACTTACGTGTGTATGTATATGCGTTTTCCGAAGAACTTACCGATGTACTCAAGTGATAAGTCGAACGAGCTAGTACGACTTGTTGATGCCTTATCATACCGTTGCGAACTTGTATCTTCTATCCTATATACTTGAATATTATTATATCATATTATTATTGTGCTTATATATTTCAATATTTTTTAAAAGCAAAACACGTTAGATGTCATAATGCCTTGCTGAATTATTGTTAATCTCGACTGTTTAGTTATTCGAAATTAAAATCTAGTCTCTGCCTTAACTGGACCATTTGTTTTATGATAACAATAAGCTTCTGCTAATTTTTAAAATAATGATCTGAGTAGCTTCATTCATGTTAGGGATATATTAACGATAAATTATGTCTATGGTTTCTCCATGCTTTCGACCGAATGGTAAACTGTAGGTCATTTTATCATTGTTTTAATAGGCTGTAGAAACTAGAATCAACCAGACAACCAACGTGGACCATGAACGTATCCCTGAATTGTGGCCTTTTTCTTATAATGCTTTCGTTAAATGTACTTTTCACTGTATCTTGATGAAAAGTTCACTAATTTTTAATCAAGATACTTTCAATATATGTATATATATAAACAAAAAAGTACCCATGCATCTTTGTCCGAACGCTTGGCACAAATAGAACAGATGGCGCCATATAACTCCTTCAATTTGTAAATACTGCCATTTTAGTTACAATAGTTGTACAGTAAAAAAAAAAAAAAATAGTTGTATCTATCAGCATGGCAGGCAGCTTTACCCTATACCTTTTCATGACAATTTTTAATTCGTGGGCAAATTATAGACCATAAAATAGTGAGAAACTGCAATCGGAAAAAGATATAGAAAACTTAATAACGTATGTCGTAAAACTTAATATCTATCACTTTACAAGATAAATATTCAGCTAGAACAATCAAGCTTTATTAAATAAAAAATAAATTGTGCTTATTGTATTAGTTATTGTATATAATACATGGAACCCTCACCTACATACATCCGTTTCAATGCAATTTTTAATGAAGACAACTTCCGTACATCCGCTATTTATTTCTTCCTTAGCAAATGGAAACTACATGATGGAAACATTTCTTAATATTTGCTCAGGTCATTTTAAGCGAAATTATTTGAATACAGTTGCTTCACAATGCGTATCACCGATAACTATTTTCTAAACACTCAAAGACATCGCTGACATTTTAAAAACGCTATTAAACATCTGTTAAAAATATTATTTTTTACGGAAATGTTTTAATACGATCACGATACGATAATCTTGCAAAATTTAATACAATCAAATATGAGGTGATTTTAAAATAGTAAAATATTAATTTTATGTACTACCGTACAGTAATAGCTTTCTTAAATATTGCGTCCTATCAATTTTGTATTTTCAAAAGCCTACACAGTTTAAAAATAGTTTCTTAGAAAAAGGAATTCATGTACGAGTAAACTTTACTTTCTCTTTATTTGCACTACAATGGATCAGGGATTGTTATTATATCCGCAGATTTTGGTACGTACGTATCTTTACTTGGATCTTGCTATCTAAAGCCTTCCGTTTATCTACTTTTGATCCTTATGTCCTTCAGATCGTTTCTGTTGCGGCTACACTCGCGATCTCCCGATTTTCACTTATTTTTTTCGTTCTTAAAACAGTGCCAATCCGCTACACGTGTTTGCCAGCTTGCACAGACACTGAATATTTGGAATCCATTAAACGGCTATAAACGAACCTGGCGGACTTTCCAATAGAATAACTTTAGAACGAATTGGGCTAGAGTGATTATTTTTCCATCTGCCTTAGATGCTTTCTCGTTTATTTTATACATGCTTTTACGGCTGTTTCCAGACAACCATATATCTAGTATTTACATTTCCACATATAATTTTTCTGTTTGTGGTTTCTTGAAGTAAATCGATGGTAAGATATGTTTACTCAGCAATTGCATTTTTAAACATGGAAAGCCCGTAACCATATGGGCTTAGATCGGGACGATAAGCGGGTTGAAGCCAACGTTGGGTTTCCTTTGCTTAATCCCGAAAGAAATTAAAGTATGACGATAAGGTCTATCATTGTCATCAAGTAACAAGACTACGTGCTTTCGGTTGCTGTGCTAACGGCCCTTGAGTAACTCGAAATAACGGGCTGCACTTACTGTTCTATTTTCGGCGAATGTCCAATAGTAGCAGATGCCTTTGATGTCCACTGCAAACACTACCGTTATTTTACATCGAACATTCGTGTCGATTTTGCTCGACACTACCACTGAACTTGATTTCTTTAAGGCGACGCGATTCTCTCGCCTAGAGCGTTTCTAGCTCGCGGTACAGACTGAACCATGCCTCGTTTATTGCAACCGTATGCCCAGATGGGCTTTTCGTCGATTAAAGCTTCGCAAATTGCACATTGAATATACCAAGCATTTCCAACTTGTCTGGGGCAAATTCACAGACGACCCAGTTTCCGCATCTCCAGTATAAGGTGTTCTATGTGAAATACCGGTTTTGGCCGATAGACCCTTAGACTCCAACCTCTGCTTTCATTAAAGGCCTCCTCAATTGCGGCAATATGTTCAGTGTCCTTCGGATCCCGACATCTAGTTGTCTCCTCGTTGGTCTTTAACACTCCGATCTCGGACACCTCCGTTCTTGAAACACTTGCAACATTCACGCTGTGCTTTCGCTTAAAGCCTTCTTACCTAAGATCTTCATCATTCTTCGATAAATTTCCGCGATGCTGTGGCCTTCGAAAAACAAAAACTTCATTACTAAGCGCTAGTTTTCCAGATTAAAAAATGTTTTTCCTTCTGAACTCATTTCTCCTGTAGTACACTTAATAGGCAACTCTTTGACTACACACATTTCTAAAAGACTAGGGTACCTACCAGCCAAATTCGTCTGCAATCAGCGCGTAATTCAAACGTTGCTTTATGTCAAAGTCTGTCGGATTCGTTCATAACAGCCTAAGACAACACCCGTAGCGCTACCTGCGGGCTTCGCTCGCGTCTGCTTTGCTATGAAACGCATTTGCT